CACACACACACACACACACACACACACACACACACACACACACACACCCAATACATTTTTTTGTTTTTGATTTTTATTTATCATTCATCGTTTGCCATGAATTTTATTTATCAATCGGGTTCCAAATACCATCAGAGTCGTAGACTATCATTCGAATTAAAATAAAAACTCATATTATAAATCATTGTTTTGCATGAATGAATGAATGAATGGAGAATAACTTGACATTGGAATGCAAAACAATCACTTCACTCCAAATGTTTTGTAAATCGTAGTAATCGCTTGTTTTTTTTCCCAATCACAATGTTTGCAAAAGTATGGTAATTTTTTTGAATGTAAATGAAGTGGAATGCATGCAATAAAAAGCAGCGTGTATGTATTTGTGAGGAAAAAAAGCATACGCATGACAATAACAATTGCGGTATAAAAAAAGTGTGTTCTCATGCGATGATCGCGAGTCGTCAAGTCTCTCTATCGCTGTGTTTGGGTTTTATCAACGGTTACCATCACACACACTCCAGATAGATAGACAAAAGCGATAAAAAAAACAACAACAAACGATGGCAAAGAAGATGTCCCTTTCAATGATGAATATTTTCAATTTTCTATTCAATTTTATAATTGTATAAAATAAAAACAATGGTCATGTTCAAGAATTGATTTTGATTTTATTCAGTCGTTTGTTTTCTCCAACTATATGAAATGCTAAATATGTCGTTAATTTTTTTTAATTGCTTTTATTTTTTGGTACACGGGTTGAATAAGATCCAGTAGAAACTGCGCAATAGCCCTATAAAAGAATGCATAAATTATTGCTTTGTATTGACTACATCAGACTACATTGTTTTTAATTCAATTAAATCATCACAGTTGTTCTACAATAATTTACGGAATGAAAGGGAAAAAATGAGATTTGAAAAAATCGCTCAAAAATGAATGTTTTAACTCATCAAAAAAATGATTGAAAAATATTAACCGAAAAATAAGGATGTTAAAGAGCAAACACATTGATTGATACATTTTATACCGATCAAAACGAGATAAAATTGTTTGTGGAGTCACAGTTCTTATGTTAGCACCGAATCGTCTTTCGAACTCCTTCAAAACAGCATCATTTCTGTAAAAAAACAATGAAATATATTAGTAAAACTTAATTGTGAGAGAGAAATTGATAATATTTCCCAAGCGTGCGAGATACGCACTTCACACGTAGCCACACTTACTCAGATGAAACAAATGTAACGATTTTTGCATTATTTTGACCGACAACACAGTTTAAACGATCCACATAATCATCGCAATGTTCGACCCGTTCAAAGTTGAATATTGTTTTGACCACTTGAATGTTTTTTAGTTTGGGGGCAATGGAATCAGTTGTTATCAACACAGACTGCGAAAAAGACAAAATAATTATTCTGGAAGATTTGAAAATGAATAATCAGTGAATATTACCTTTTCATTAGGAAATTCTTTTTCATCAGTTGAAACGCCTTCAATGCCAAGAACAGATAAGTTATCTTTCAATTTGTGACCCTTTTCCATTGACTCAACGAAAATGAGTGATTTGATCTGAAGTATATTCAAAAATTCTGTCAACGTCTCGATCTTTTGCATCTCATCCAATACAACATAGTAATGCTGCAAACCATTGATATTCAGTTTTGTAATGGCATCATCAAACACTTCAATTGGCTAATTTGTGGAAAAGAAAGTTTTTGTGAATTGAAAAAATTGGAGTGAGAGAAGAACGTTTTGTGAACACATTACTTTTTCCACCCACTTCTCGAACCAATGACGCGCGACTCTGCATGTTTCATTCGAAAACATCATGACTTTTTTTTTCTTCTGTTTTTCCATAATGTAACTGATCGAAACCAAATGATCTGTTATAAAAAAGTCATTAATTATCATTGTTATTGTTTTGTTTATCGGTAAATTTGTTGTTTGATTTAACCAACCCAAGTTGTTAACCATAATCTCGCTGTCAAAAACAATTATGTTAATTGTATCATTCAACATGTGTTCTTTGTCAAAAATGAGTGCAGAAATACGAGCTGGGGTACCAATGATAATATGCGGTGTAGGTTCCTGAAGCATCTCTTCGTCATTTCCAATTGATGGTTTGCCGAGTAAACCGATTCTCAAGGATGCAAAGTTGAAATTTTCAAGTTCATTGTAGATCTTTTCACCCAGTTCGTTAGTGCAAATGACCAATATATAAGTATAACTTTGCATTTGTTGAAATTGTTGCATACTTGATAGAATGACCATACGAGATGGGCCCAGTTCTGTAAACAATCAATAAGATAACATTTGTTGAAAGAATAAAAACAAAAATAGCTAACTAATAACAATAGCAATTCATTTTTGGTCACCATACCTGATTTCGTTTGGAGTAAAATGTCATTTCCTTTGAGAAATTTATGAATGCACTTTATATCAGCTACATAGAACGAATAAATCGGATACGATGAAAATAGATTTCGGAAAAACATTCTTTCCATTTTTTTTCTTACCATTTGATGGTTTGGAATCAGAGAAAGCATTACAAATCTCTGGATCTATCCGGATACCATGAAAATCAGCCATCGTTGTTGCGTTTTCTTGTCTTTCATTCACTTTTCGCCACCACAAAAGAAAAGAATGATAAATCGTTTAATATTATTGTACGTCCAATAAAATACATGCAATCAATATTTTGATCAAGAAGAAAATTTGCTTATTTTTTCTATTATTCAGACAGAACTTACTCATTGAATGCAATTCCATAATTTTTTTTTATATGCAAAAATACTGACAGTTCATGTCATACACTGTTGCATGATAAACGATGTGAAGTTAGCCACAAGCAAAGAGAATACACTGCATTTTGTTTATCCCGTGGAAACATTCAATGCTTTCAAATTGACTATCTGGCGAAAATATTCTGAAGAATGTGAAATACCAAGTGAATACTTGGACTTGGTTAACGTAGCGATAGGCCAAACAAAATTATTGACGACAAGCAAATTTAAACAGTTTAATAATCTCATCGACCAATGTGAGGGCAAAGAAAGTGAAAAGGTTGTCAAAGCAGAAGACTTAGAGGTAAAAATTTTGTTTAACAATATCAAGAATAAATATTAAGAGTAATACATATGTATATGTCATAGGGGTTTTGGTCTATGGTCTACTTGCAAGTAGAAAATTGCAATCAACGTTTCAACCGACTGGAAATCTTGAAAAATAACAAGTGGGTTGATCCAGATTTGTGTGTAATCAAAGAAAAGAAAATACGTAAAACGAACAGCATGATTTCGAAGAATACAATTTCGAAAAAACGTGTCAATAGTGCTGTTGGTGTTATGCTGAAAGAAGCACGCAAAATTTTGAGAAACGAAACAAAGGAAAATGATGTTGGTCGACGAACTCCCATGACTCAACATGGAGGTACATGGATAGTGAGTACAAATATTCTTATAAAGTATATTCTATAAATAATATATTTTTTCATGCATTTATTCAAAAGGTAGAAGATTGTTTAACTAACTACAAGATACAGGATGGAAATACACCGACCCGAGGCATTCTCAAAACCCCGGGCTCCGTGCGAAGAGTTCCATGTCCGTCTTTGACATGGAAGACGAGTCCGCAAGTTAAGCTATTTATTGAATAACAGGCCGTGCGTGCTTCAAAAAACAAATAATAATGAATAGAGATGCGTTGTTGTTTCGTTTTGGATTAATTTAAGGATTTTCAATAAAATAATCATTTGTCAAAGTAATTTCTGTTTTTTATATTTTCAGCCAACGCAAGAAATTTCAATCAAAAAAGGAAACGACTCACTATGAATATAATTCCCCAATGATCTAGTCTTGGCCGTTTATATATGCAGTCGAAAAGACTGCATATAGCGACACCCGCTATATACAGTGGAATTTTTTCATACAACTGCATTTAACCGTAACCGCTATGCAGTTGAGTTTTAAGTTTTCGTCTTTTGTCTGCATATAGCTGCTGGTGCTACATGCAGCCGAAATTTTAACCTTTTATTTATTATATTAATATTTTTCGACTGCATATAGCTTCTGCTGTTAAATGCAGTCGAAATTTTTTAGCTCCGGAAAAGTTCAGCGTGCGCGCCTTCACTTCCTCAGAGCTAAAAATGCAATGAAAAATTAAACATAAACGTTAAATTGTTCTGCGACCGAAATGTGATTGCATTCCACATATAAATAAATCCAATTCAATATGTTGTTTATTTTTCGACTGCATATAGCAGCAGTGAATATATACAGTCAAACATGAAAAAAAAACTAATCTGCGTATAGCGGTTATGGTTAAATGCAGTTTTTTGAAAAAAGTCCGACTGCATATAGCGGCTACTGCTATATGCAGACGAATTTATTTCATATGGAAACTTTTCGACTGCAATTAGCAGTGTCCTCTAGTCTTCATGTAATCCTACCTATTATTTATTACCAGAGGGGCGAAACCGAACTGTCATCATCAATTACAACGCGGCTGTCAGAATAAAGTACAAATTAAATACACGCCAGACAGTCTTAAGTGCACCTTCGTAGAACGACTCGTTGAATTTGAACTATTGAAAAAGACAACGTATTTTCGTGAACGTATATTATTCATGGAGTGAATAAAAATGATAAAATCAAGTGGAAAATGAATATTTGTGTAAAATTATGTTGTTTCTTTATTTCCTATTTAAATGCAATGAATGATTTGGATGACACATCCACATTATCAAATTTAGAAAAATGTTTCCAACATGAACATATTTATCTAAGTTTTCTTTAGATTTGCTGATGTTCAAATGAATTTTGAAATCAATTAATTCAATTTTCTCATTTTTTACGTTCGCTTCCTACAAAATGAGCTTGAAAATGTGTTTCAGGAGCCATGGGAATAAAGTGGCTCCTTAAACACACAATGGCTTTGTTCCACCGAGTGCACAAATTTGTTCTACACATTGAACATGTCAGTAGATACTTAACCTCACTTTGTCAATCAAAAACAAGAAAAATGTTAGCAAAGAATTTCTGAGCAAAAAAAAAGAAAGTTCATATTCTTTTTCGGTATTTTTTCAAACGTTTCTAAAATGTTATTAAAAATGGGTTTTCATATTAATACACTAGGTATATTTTTATAAATAATTGAAATATTTTTTAACCAGAATGCTTGAAATATGTACTCATGTACTTATGCATACTTTTAGCGCGTTCCGCAACGAATGACAACCGACTACGCGGTCCCCGTTGTAGTTTGACAGTTCGGTTTCATGGCTCTGTTTATTACTATACCTACTAATGGAAACTATTTAAATTATGTCAATGTTTGTTCTACATGGAATTATTTGAATTGTTCATATCTTTCTGTCTCGACGTGAATTGTAAATCCAAAACTACCAACAGGGACTTGTTTGAATTAGACGTAAAACTTCTCTTCAATTTATCATTTCTTTGATAGATTGGTATTTTGGCGCATTTTCGAATTCCTGAAGAGACTAATAGTGTCTGGAAAAACTTTGTAGTACTATTCAAGAGCTTTGCAGGCCAAGTAATACAAGGTCGCGTCGCTCCGCTCCGCTCTTATTTTGTCTCATATATATTATTTTCAGTTTGTTGTTGTGCAACAAACTAAGGTGTAAAAGGCACTACATAAAATGTAGAGCTTCAATCAACTTTTACTTTTTAAAGGCTAATGCGGATTTTGGGATAAAATTTAAAGGGCCAGCATATCCGCTAGGTATCATTTCAGTCGGTTGATGTTGAACGAAAAATCAAGTTCTAAGTGCTACCAGCGCCATAAACAAAACCGTTATGAATCTGATTTTTTTTCGATACAAAATAATCTAAAAATAT